TCCTTCATGAACCCACTTTTTCTTCAGTGTCTTCCAATCCTTTATGGAAATCCTCCCACTTACTGGAACCGGTCCCTTGTGATCTATCTTATTCTTGCTACCATCTATTTGGATACTATGATCTTGCAATCCAATGATCCAGCCCGCCTTCCTCTCTTCCATCTGCCCATCCATCCATCCATCCATCCATCCATCCATCCATTGATCCATCCATCTATCCATCCACCCACCCATCCACCTCCCCATTAACTCTATGCCAAGCACTGAATACTTCTTCCCCATTGCTCTCCAGAGCACCCACTATAGAAGCATCTACTTCTTTTCTATTCCCATTAAAGCCTAGAACTGACTTGCTTCCATCCACCCTCTTAGGAGGGTCAGTGTGATGGACAAATCTGTGCTAACATATTTGCACCAGACCCATTGCCCCCTCAGAGATGGCAGCAGGCAAGGATTTCTGAGGCCTATGATCCAGGGCCTGAATGACAGTCCTACCTCTTTCCCCTTGGTTCCCCTCCCCTTTCATCCCGACTGAAGCCAGAATAGAGACAGCCCCTACATACACCCCTACATACGTATGCAGAAGTCTCCATTCTCATAGTAGCCAGGGCAGCACTGGGACCTCCGCCGGTACATGGTCCGGAGACCGCGCCGATATGCCGTCTTATAGCTGATCCTAAGGCACAAGGGAGAAAGCCACTTGAAAATATTGAAAATCAATCACTCCTGTTAGAATGATATTTGTGTTAAGCCATATCGAGGATGCCATTCAATAATTACTTTAAAATGCATGGTGGTTTCAAATATGAAGGAACACAATAAAAAACAATCGATGGCAGGATCTGGGCGGTTATATTACTGACAGGGCATTTGCTACACCTGCTGACATTTCACCAGTCTCTTCAGAGTATACTTAGAAAGCTTGCAGAAGATACTTTCTAGGGTGATGTTCTGGAGGGTAACTGGGGGCTTTGCCTTCAAACCTCCAGAAGCTGGGCTAGAGGAGCCCATGGGGTAACCTGGATGGGACTGGGGCTCTGAGAGTTTCTATGCCTATCGCCACCACCCCAATAAGCAGACTGTTCACAGACCCTAGGAATAGGTCCGTCCACTCAGAGAACTGAAGTAGAGTCAGCAAAAAGACCCTATGAGTCTGACTCAGTCCCAGATGTGGATTAATCTCTCCTATACCAAAAATAATACCTCCTGGGGAAGGTATTATATTCACCCCATGCCAGAGAGATTTATAGGCAAAATCTCATTCCATTCCCTCCTTGAAGTAGGTAGCATTATTATGCCCCTTTATTTTATTTCTTTTTTAGACTTTTTATTCTTATTGAATTGTATGTACCCCTCCGCTCACTTTGCTTTATGGATAAGAAAACACAGTCAGAGAAGTTAATGACTTGCTCAAGGTCACACAGTTGAACAGTTTTAGAGCCAGGATTCAAACCCACTAGGCTTAACTACTGCCCTGTGCCAGTTCCCATAGGGTGGCTTGCTGGGCTTATGCGATGGCCATTGTGAAAGAAAAATACAAGGGAAATAGATGGTGTGAGGACTGAGTCCTTCTGAGGGAGTCAAAATGGGGTATTGATAGGCAAAGCCCCGTCCTCACACACAGGATCAAATGGAAAAGATGCGAAGTGGCCATTAAAGACAAAAGAGGAAGTAACTTCCCAAGGTCATGACATGTAACTAGGACTCAACCCCAAGTCCTCGGGCCTTGAAGCCAGAGCTTTCTCATTTTCCCACGAGCACTCCAGGGAAGCCTGCCCTGTAGACTCCTCCTCAGCGGCCAGAACAGTGGGGGCTGGTCAATGGACATACTGGCAGTCTACTCTCCATCGAGGGTCAGGCCCACTTGAGAATGGAGTCCTACTGCACAGGCTCCCAGTCCTTAAAGCCCTCGCTCTATGACAAATGACAGTGTAGACTCTGGGGAAATCCGTGATATTTAGGAATGTCGTAAACTAAGGTCATTCTACTTTGTCAAAAGCCCATAATGAAAGGTAAGCCGGCTTCAAAGTGAAGCTACTTTCCCAGCACAGGAAGGCAGCTCCTGGCAATTTCAGGGGTGGTGTAAGCCTCTCAGATAAAGAACAACTTGGGGTTGACTCAGAGGTCATCCAGTCTATTCCTCCTACCAAACTGGGTTCTCCTAAAGCCCTCCAATGGAAAGGTGGTCTTGGCATCATTAAAGCCTCCCAGGAGAGAGATGTCCCCACAGCTTTTGGCTTCCCCATCCTTGCTCGCTCTCAGCACTGGGGTGGGAAGCAGGAGAGGGAAGGAATTGGGAGCCAGGCTGCTGTCAGGAGAATGATGCTGCACTCAAACAAGGCATTCCACACAGAGGCAGACTGATGGTGCAGCTGTCAGTGTGCACATTCCAGGTCATCAAGAAAGCTGTAAGGCGACTCAATAATTTAGCAAAATAATTCATGTTCCAGGAATTCAGCCTATTTTAATAAGCAGCCACTCACTCACCTTTCCCCAGTGGTGACGGACGGCAGCTCCAACCTCCAAGGACCCGACAAAGCCACACCTCAGAGCAAACTTAGCTCTGGCACAGGGCCTGACAGGTTTATGGAGGGAGCAGGAATTATATTTCTGCCTCCATCTTTGACCAGGGCCACAGGCAGCTAACTTGGCACAACTGGGGAAGTTAGAAGAAGGCATATGGTCTCACCTCCTCATTTCACAGTCAAGGGTTAGGGGAAGGGGACGTAGTAATGCTGAGTAGCTTCTGTTGGACCAACCTTCCTGCAAACAGCTATATGATCTGGGGAAAATGTAAAAACAACTACCTGAAGGTACTAGAAGAGAACAGAAGTAGATACTGGAGGGAAGTAGACATTAGGAAGGAGGAAATGACACTGTGCAAGGTTAGCCCAAGGGCAGGCCCCAGTCAACAATGAATACTCCAGGTGTCTAAAATTCAGATAGAAGACTTGCAGCCTTACAGGTTTGAAGAACCACAGGACAAATCCAGGATGGACCCAGCAACTAGAAAGTGAGAAGGGAAACCCAAGAAAGAAGAGAGCCACAAAGAGGAAAGCCCCATATTCTTTATAAAATCTCTGCCCAAACTTTTGGCCCATGAATTAAATGTGTAGAGAGCAGATTCCGAGCAGTCCAGCTAAAGCTAAAAATATTGAATTTTCAGAGCTTGGAAACTAAACTGAGTTTAGACAAGTTAACTGGCTGCTAAAACAAACAAATAAGCAACAACAAGTCAATACTCTCTGGAGGAACAAAATAGAATTCAGTCTCTACAGTCTCCATTGTTCAAAATGCCCAGAATACAATTCAAAATTACTAGACATATAAAGAAACTAGAAAATATCACCTATATAATAGAAAAGGCAATCAATGAAGGCAAGCCCTGAGATGACTCAGATATTGAATTAGCAGACAAAGATTTTAAAGTGGCTATGATACCTATGCTCATTGTCTCACAGCAAGTTACTAACAAAATCTCAAACAATACCAGGATTTCAGCTTTTCAGCACAGAGCAAGTTTCCCCATCCACATGCTACCCACTATGATTCCTGTCTATAAACCAGAGACTAGGCCCACAAGGAGGAAACAAAAGAAATCGAGAACCAACACAGATGCTCAACAACTAGGAAAAGGGCCTTCCAGGTGGCTTCTTCCTCATTCCCTCACTTAACCCCTTTGTCTACTGGTTTTTCACTCCTTCAAATAATAATGCCACCTTCTCTAGGTCTAATATCTTACTCTTCTCTATTCTCCCCTGCACTTTTCAAAGTATTTTCACATCCCTGACCTCACTAGACCCTGGAGGTAGGTAAGGCAAGGATCATTCTGTTTGATGAGTGCACGGGAATCTCAAAATAAAGTGACTTGCTCAGAATCATCCAACGAAACATGTTCTTTCTTCCTCTCCTCTCTCCCCCAGTGACATGGGAGTATGTCATGACTTGTAGGAGGGTGGTAGACAAAGGAGCAAGATTCCCACATGCGGTTGTTCAGATGCTGATAGGGTGCTGACTTCTAGCCTGCACTCTGTTCTCCAAGCTAGATTCCCTAGCATGGGGCTACATCTGCTCTGAGGGGGACTGTTCAGAAGCAGACCTAAGGCAAGGATTCAAGGATAAGTAGTTTATTTGGGAGGTGATCCTAGGAAGCACTAGGAGGGGAATAGAAAAATAAGACAGGAAAGTACAGGCAATCAATTCAGGGTGTGCTGTTGAGCATAGTACTGCTACGTGTGACTGGGGACTACTGGGATATAGTATAGAACACGTTCAAAGTGTTCTTCCTTAGGAAGAGAAAGCTAGGGTATCTACCTACCTACTCCTTACCTGTCACTGGTTGAGGGATGCACCCAAGGACATTCTCTAGCATTTCTGGCCTGCCCTGCTCATAAGCTCCTCTGGCAAGAAAGAAGCCCTCAGTAGAGCATCTCAAGGGTTCAATGTGAAGAGTAAGTACCAAGGGGATATAGGGTATACTGACCACATCTGTGACAGGGGCCTTTTACTAATTGGTACAAAGGCAAGCCCAGAGGACCTGGCAATCTTTCCCTGCCCAGTCATCTGAGAGAGGTACTCACCGGTGCCTGGTACACTTGAACCAGTTGAGGATATCTGTGCATCGTGTGTAGTAGATCTGGTCGAAGGGATGTGCATAGGATTCCTGGACGGTCACGGCATAGCTGAGAACCAAACAGGAAATGGAAGCTATGGTCAGCCCTTGGGAGGCTGAGTTGGTATTCAAGGTGTGGTCTCCCTTCCCAGGGGAGCCAGGCCACAACTAAGTGTCCAGGAGCTCCAAAATCTCCTACCCCACTATCCTCCTGCTACCCTGGATGCCCTTGGCATCCATACCCACCTGATCCCTGGTTGAATCCAGGACATACCCATTCGTGCTCTTTCTCCCAGCTCATTCTAGTTCATTTGTTCATTTAACAGAGAATGAATAAAGGAGGGTTTATCCTTATGTGATTCTGGAAGACATGGTCAACAAGTTTTTTAAAATAGTCTATACTTGTTTAGATTTTTATGGTTTACAAAGCACCTGCATGGAAGCTGATCTTTGCAGCAACTGTGTGAAAGTAAGTAGCCCCATTTTGTAGATGAAGAAACTAAGGCTCCGAAAGAGGTGACTTGCCCAGGTCACATAGCTGCAATAGTTGCTGATAGATATTAAGTGCCCTGTGTTAAGTGTTTTAATCCCTTTTAATCTTCACACAATCTTTCTAAGGTAGGTGGCATTGTTATCCTCATTTTACAGATGAGGAAACTGAGCATCAGAGGGGATAACTGACTTCCTCCAAAACACCAGTTACCTTCTGCCTTATTATATAGTTGGGGGTCCATCAAGGACATACCACAGGCCTCCTGATCAAAGTGGTATCTCATCATTCTGTCTGTTAGCTGTAAACCTGGACCAGTGGGTGGAAGCTACAGGAAAGCAGGTCCCAGCTTCAACAAGCTACCTGTCCACTCCTGGAAGTTGTATGAAAAGGCAATTAAACCAGAATGTAAAGCAGACTCACACTTCCGGTGCAGGCTGGGCGAGGACCACAGCTGAGATTTCAGGAATTAATTTTTATGTAGGCTGATACTATTCAATGTTTCCCCCTAGAAGGCTCACTGACCTGGGCCAGATGGCCAGGTCCAGGCTATAAAAGCCCATCTGCTTTGCCTGAGGAAACCGTTGGCTTACTCATAAGGGGGCTGGGCATGCCAGCTCCCTGACTAAATCCACAGCAGGCTCTTTGATGCCTGAAATGTCAAAGGTTTAGAATTCAGAAAGAGGAGGCCAGAAGCAGCCAGCAATGCCCAGGAGGGGCTCAGGGTGGTGGGACATTTGTTTCTCTCAAGCAAGGAGGATATAAGGAAGACCCTTGGTGAACCTCTACCTGGTGAGATGTGCATCAGATATACACATCTATGCAGACTTGGCCTAAAACCCTGTTTTATCTATAGATTTGAAGAAACTAGGCAGCTCCGTACCCACCCCTGGCTTCCCAAAGGCCCCTTCCAACTCTGAAATTCCATGACCCTGTGCTCTGATACGTCTACTGAGCACCTCATTTAGAGGCAGGAGAATAAATGAATAAGAAGCATGGGCTCTGGGTCAAGGTTGAACCCTGTCACTTGTCAGCAGCATGTTTTTAGACATATAAGACTCATATAAACTTTTGTTTCCTCACCTGTAAATCTGTGATAATAATACCAGGGGCTTCGTATAGTTATTGTGGAATAAAGAAGGTAATAATAGTATCAATCTCTCAGAGTGTTGGGAAGATAAAGCAAGATAATATATGTAAAATGCTTAACAGGTACACAGTAAGTGTGTAATAGAAATTGACCATCATTATTATAAAATTGGCAGTAATTCACCTCCTGTGCTAGTTAGTCACTGAGGGTTATTTCCTCCCAGACCATGGTAAGGGAGACAGAGGAAGACCCACACAGAGAATGGACTCCCCACCTTTGTTTTGTACTTGGGGGTTCAGGCAGTCCCTCCCCAGCATTGACAGGAACAGGGGGTGCTCAGAGAAAAGTCATCATCTCAACAGAGGGGACAGCGAGGGTGTCATAGGGACAGATCTGGCTCTGCAGGGGTGCCCTGAGCAGAGCAAGTCTGGCAACGAGACCTTGAACCAACTCCAAGTCACCAGGGTGAAATGTATGCCCCTGGTTTCATGGCTGAGTGGTTTAACATGCTCATTTGCCAACATGCTAATGAGGGGCCAGATTAATCTTGTAGAGCTGGACTTTACTAGCCAACGGAGGTCTTTCCACTGTGTTTTATGGTGGAGGGGGCGTAATTAACAAGGAGCCTGCCAGAAGCACTAATCCAGCTGGGAAATTCTCCCTAAGCAGTCTCTGGGGACTGGGCTGTGTTTCTGGAATGACACAGACTAGATCCATCCATGTGTAACTGGCAATGGAGCTAAGCTGGAAAAGCCAAGAAAGAAGAGGCACCTAGTATTAAGGGGCATCACTGCAAGGCCTCCCTAGAGGCTGGAGAAGCCCAGGGGGTACCCAGACCTCATTTTAGCTGTTAGGATCACTCCTTGTCCTCTCATCAAAGCTATATATTTGGCTGATAGCCCAATCAGCTTGAAAAGTCAGCTCAACGCAGGCCGAGTTCAGAATATTTTCATATTCCAAATGTATTCATGTTGGGCAGGTTTAGAAAATCAGAATTCAGTTTAAGTTTGAACTAATCCACTGGTACGAATGGGACTTAGAGAAGAAGGAAGTCAGTGTGGGCCCTGCCATCAAGGAAGGCTTCCTGGAGGAGGGGGACCTGGATGGACACAGTGAGAAAAGGCAGAGGTGAGCAGATGAGAAGGAGGCATTCTGGGGGCTGGGATATAGCACTGACATCAGCAG